TCAGTACACCTGTGTTCTTTATCTATATTTGCTAAATACTGCATGAAATGTGAAGTTCTGCTGTCGGTGCCCTTTTTATGATGTATCTGGGGAACCATTCACATGTTTAAAATTAAGCACATTCTTAAGCATGTCAATGAACTGATGCTTATATCTGTGAAATGTTTTACTTGCAGAGGAATCAGAGCTTGGGGACTAGAAAATGAGAATCACTGCAATGTAGAAACCATTAATTTCAATACAATATTATATGTTATTGCAGTTTGCGGATCACTCTCATCCCCAGAGAAACTTGAAAATAAAATTGAGCTAATAGATATAATGGCCACACCTGCAGATGTGTTACAGGTTTACAAGCATCCCATGCAAAGCCTATAAATTTCCCTCCTGAAAATTAATACCAGCTATAATACGGTACATGTGCAAAAATCTCTGGGGGCTGAACAGCACCCAAAAGGACAGATGGTTTACTTCAACCAAACATTAAAAAAACCTCATAATCTAAATGGACAAAGACCAACATGTTCTTTGCACACAGACATTGTTCTAATGTTTTAATCTTCATTAACACTTTATAGCAGTTACACTTTTCTCTTTTTTATTTTAAATCTGTTTTGCTTTGCAGCAGGATCATCCATGCTGATTCATGACAGACTTGCTAAACTGCATGACTTCTTTTAATGCATCAATCCTATTACACTGTTTAGTTGACCATAACTTCAGCTGCACATACCCAAAAGATATTGTCCATTCCTATTCTCTTTTCCATTCCTTTGAAATAATAATTTTTAAACACAGCTTCAGATCATTATTTTTAGCTTAATCAAGTTCTAAATCCTTTCTGTTTCCCTGTCTCACTTCTCTTCCTTTGGCAACAGCAGTTGGAGGTGTTAGGGCAGCATATAAGTCACATCAGCCAAGTGGCTCCAATTGCACTTACACTCGGCCAGCCATCAAAGTTGAGGAACAGCTGAGAGCACTTTGAATGCTCCGTACAAAACACAAGCCTTTTACTATGCCCTTTTTTTTTCAGTTCTTTCTTTTCATAGATCACAGATACCTTAGACCATGAGAAGACTTAGATGTCATGCAGAAAAATTTCTACAAATCACTAAAGACAGCGTGCACAACTATATGGAGTAATTGCTTTTTTCTTCTTTTTTTGTAATCTTCTCAACACAGATACATCAGTGATAGATATCTATGTTTTCAATATACTTCAAGCAAAGTAATATTAAGCTTGGATATGGAAATTTGTGTTTTGTTTCCATCAGCTTTCAACCAGAAAGCTGCTTTCTGCTTAAGAAAATAGCAGTGACCTTTGAACAAGGTCCATTTAAAATATCTGTGCAAACATACATACATATATACACACACATATATATATATATATATTTACACACGTGCACACACACATACATTGCACTGGTATTACACTAGTACTGAATAATGAGAACTTTAGAAAGATGATGGTGACAATGCTACAGAAAGGAATTTGTCATATTCCATTAAAAAATCTTCTGTTTAGCTCATCCTACAACCTCGCTTAACAAAGTGAATCTGACCTCAAAACTGCAAGGTATCCTCCCAAGATTAAGAGCTTCTCTGCGTTGTTTTGAGCTAATTGTTCATAGCGTTCAAGGTCCTCAAATCTGGATTTTTTGTTTTCTGTTTCAATGAATAGCTCTCGGTAACCGTAACTCAGAACTATTGCTTTAGTCTCTGTATGCAATCATATGCCCTAGAAAACTTGTGGAAAGCATCTGTCCTTGACGTGAACTAATGGTAAGTAGGCGACTAACTTACCACATCTCCTACTGCAGCAGCACAGATGGCTTTGTCCTCTAGTATCTAATTCTAGCTTAGAGATAACACAAAGGTCTGCTCTTACTTCATAATTACCTCAGGAGTCAGGAGCACTCCCTTATTTCAGAGAGGGGTGCTAGGAGGCCAGCTTACTGGCGTCAACATCTGCCCAGCAGAGGTGAACAGCAGTAGAAGGTATTCTGCTCATGGATTTTTTCCACATGCAAGAAACCCACTCAAGTATATAGACATATATTAATTTTGGCCACCACCTCATTTGTGTGAAAGCAGAGGAAGGGAAGGAGCAATTAGGAAACAATTCTTAGCTACCAGGCATCATCTACTGCTGCAACAGTCCTTCCTTGCAACTCTGAATCTCATCCTGTCCCACCAGGACATGACAGCTAAACTTACAGCTTTAAGCAAATTGTTGTGCATTTGTTTGGTTTAGGACCACACTAACGCAGGTAGATTGCTTCTGCACTCAGTGCTTGAATATATGCAAGACACTGTACCACTACTTCATATGGCTACAGGGGTCTGCACAGCATTACACTGCACCATGAACACATACCAAAGCAATTTTACTGGCAAGAAAACTAGGTGCCTATGGATTAACAGGTACTTAAGCAATGAGGTATAGTTTATACACAAATCACTCTGGCTCTTAGGCTCTTTAACTGCAGCTCAGGCAGAACAGAGGCATGTGAGTCCATTTTTGGATCTGGACTTAGGTATCTTATGCTTCAACTTCATGTGAAGTGCATGGTAAAAACCTGATCAGTGCCACAAAAGGGTAGGAGAAAGCTATTTTATATTGGTGAAAAATCACCACAGTGAGCTTGAAATGGAGGCAAGCATCCAAAAAAGAAAAAGAAATCACATTGAAACAGAAGCATAGGGAAGGGGAAAGAATAAAGTTCCAACTAGTTGCTGTGCGAAGCTTCGGCAAAACAAAATGACAGCTTGCCAAAGTAGTTTAAAGCAGCCCGAAAGAAGCAAAAGTCTGTCAGCAAGAGTTTTCTGCTATGACTCTTATCCTCAAGTTTAGAGCTTTCAGGTTATAACCCAAAGGAGCAACACAGGTTGTTACAACATAAACAGAGAGATTTTTAATTCAAGCTACATAACAGCCTTGCTCTTCAGTTACAAGGTGTTTCATTCTGCTGCACAAGAGACTCGCTTTTAACTACCAGAGAGCTACTTTAATAGAGCGTGCTAGTTTAACTTTTGTCCAGGCTTTCAGCCATGAGCTGCTGTCTCCCTACTCCAGCCCTCACCTTCCAATGCTGGGCTTTATATTAACTCCTGAACTGCCAGTGCACTGAAAGCATCTTTGAGAGAGCACATTTTCTATTTGAAATAGTGTCAATTTATTATTCCAAGGAGAGAAAGATGGCAAGCATGGGAAACATCTACTACAATTGACCTTCCTGTACAGCTTTTTAAGTCGGAGACCAGAGCATTGCTAGCCGTCTTACTTGTCATAGTGCAGACGGGCTCAGGGCATACCACATGTAGCCTTGTCCAGAGAATGCACACAGGATGCCACTGTTGTTAATGCTGAAGCTGAGGTAGAAACAGTAGATAAATACAGGAAAAGAGAAAGAAAGCTAAGGACCTTTACATCCACATTTGTTCACTTTTTTTTTTCTGAAATTCAGTTGCTATTTGAACCCCTTTCTTTTCTGCCTGATCTCTCAAACAAGCTATGAACTTTCAGTTCAGCTTTCCAGTCATTCCTATATCAGCAATGTCATTCAACAGGCTTTCCCTGGGATTTCAGAAGGGCCATGTGGGCTCTCCTCCTCAAGGTCATATAGGCATCTAAAAAGACAGACAGGAACCTAGCGGGATTTACCAGCTGCCTGACTGCCACTGATTTGGGTGGGAGTCAGATTGCTAGATGGTTCTGAAAACCCCAGTACGAGCCGATTTCCAGCTGTAGACACCTAAATCTCTTTAAAATAGGATTGTATAAGAATGCACAATAAGATCATTTAAGGAGATCATATAAGCTTTAAGTGGTATGTCAGTATAAAAACAACAAAAGCAGTTGTTAAACGACAACAGCTTTTGGACATGAAGTACAATGACTGAGATGCTTTTTAACTGGTCACTTAGATAAAATAAGGATGAATAAAACAATGACGAAAAGCATCAAAAAGCTGTCCTCTAACTACAAATCTATAACCAGACTTAAAAAAAGCAAAACAATAACCTTTTCTTTAATCTTAAAATAATTCATTGTACACTATTTTTCAAAGCTGTTGGTAAAAAATGAAATTGTTTGGGCAGAACTTTAAATATCAAATCACAAATTAAGTTGCACTGAGAAAATATCTGCTACTGAGATGACAATCTACGTTCAGGAAAAAACCCAGCTCTGATCATCCAATAGCTCTCAGAGCTGGATGCGAGCCTTCAGGGTAGTACAAATCAAGTTAGGTGAACTTTGGGCAGAACAGTGAGTTTTGGGGAAGAACACACGTCTTCACCCCCCGTCTCTCTCTCCAGGAGCCCACAATCAGCCTTTCCCCCTTGACTGATGACTCTAATATTGTTCAGAAAGCCCCTTCTTGCTTTCCTCTCCTCTCCCTCCACCCGGCCCCACTGCCCCTACTTTCTCTTCTCATGCCCTGGGCTGCTGGATAAGCCAGGAGGGGGAGGACTAGCCCAGAGGTGAGTCTCCAGCAGAGAAATGAAATGGAGTTAACCCTCTGGCTGAAAGGCAGAAGGGACAGGGATAACTCCCTCTCCAGCAGGAGGTGCTACCACCCTGTACCTCAGCTGCTCCTCAAGGAGGAAAGGGAGAAGGAGATCAGCCCTCCGAGCTGAGCACTGGCTGAACCCAGTGTGCTTGGCGCACACGAGGTAGGCAGTCTGCTGCTCCAGGCAAGGGTCTACTGTGCCTATTCCTAAAAGTATCCCTGAGAGAGAGAGAGAGAGAGGCACTTGAGGAAAATGGTACGGGGAATAAGATGATAGCACAAAACTCCTAAAATAGCAGAAATGAAATACAGTATTTTTACAGTTAATTACTACATAGTCAACAACAACAATCCACACTAATAAGTCATTATCAAAGACTTACTTAATATATCAATTATATCATAAATATCTATTTACGGAAGTCCTTTGAGACAGGGAGAAATATAACTGCTACTAAGACACAGAGAAGGCAAGTGACTTACCCAAAGCCACACAGCATGTGTGCAGCTATGCCAGAAGTTGCACTGCGGTATCCCATACCTCCATGAAGCGATCTATCCGCTCTATGCCTTGCAGTCTATTGCTCTTATGTTGGCCCCCATTGACTGTGTATCAGGATCTGAGTGAAACAAAAAAGCTATGTAAGTAAAACTCACCGACCAGATTGATCTATTCCTTCTTCGGTTATAAAGTTTATCAATAAATCTTCCATTTGTTAATCTTTGCTGAGCTGTGCTCTGCCTCCTACTAAAGGCAGGAACTCAGATCCAACAGCCACATTCATGCCAATTGGATTTATTTTAGTCAGAATTGTAAAGAACATGTGATGAAGAGTCATTAAATTATAAAGGTCATTTAATTATAAAGGTGTACCTACCTTCTGATACCAGTGATGCTACAAATTCAAATGAGATTAAATGCACTAACAAAAAAAAAATCCTTGCATTTGGATTTTTCTGAACTGTTGAGGAATGCCCTCTGGATTTTTCTCCAAGGATATTTGTAAAGTGCGATTAATAAAATACATAATTATGTTTTTAATCTCTGTTTAATTAATATTTTTCCTATTTTTTTCAAAAGGTTCTATAACTCAGCTGTTACCACATGGCTTTAGGCTCAGGTTTAACCCTTTAGTATTGCTGCTCGAAACTTTTGGTTGAATAAAAAATAATTAGTCTCAGTTTGGGAAGATAATTCAGAAAAAAGATTTATTTTATGTCCCTGACTTATTAAACAAGTCTTAGTAAAGGTTTCACCTAACCCAGTGATACTCAAATTCAGTTCATTTCCTTCATTTCTGTACCAGGAGCTGCTTTCAGCTGCTTTCATTGTCCTTATTGCTATGCTTATATACGTTTAGTCTTACACTGCATATATAAAAAATATTATGTGCCAAAGTCATAACTGTAATGGCATGAAGTTTAAATTATCTTCCTAATCAGCAAGAAAAGTTTCAGATTTTGATAATGTACTAAATTTGAAGGAGAAACCAAAAAAAAAGTTCAGAAAAATGCCCTTTGTGATCTATCCTGCTGCAGCTAGCGTGCATCACTGGTCGTTGCCTCCTGTGTTGCACCAACATAGCATTGCAGCACTGAAACAATCTTTATTTAAAGTCAGCCTCTTTTTATTTTGCAGAGAGTTGGGAGTTTTGTTTGGTTATTTTTCAAACCAGCATCCTTGCAGGCGTCTGGTTTGTAGGTAATTCTCAAAAGCTGTTGTACTAGTGCAAATGAAAAGGCAATGAGCGGCAGCACAGAAATGAATGTCTGGGGGCAGGGAGAGGTGGGAATGTCTCGTCTGGCTTCCTTGCCAAAGCCAGTGTAATAAAACTACACCTGTACTGACATGATGTGAATGTGTCGTTTACAGTCAGGCAAAATGCTGACCCTCTACCTAAGCATTTGCATTTATTTTGGGTAAAAGGCATTTTATGGTCAGGCTAAGCATCAACTGAAGTATGTAAAAATTAAAAAGAAGAAACTTTTCCTGCCATAAAATACTGATTAGTGCATCAGCTTGATTTAAAACATTAAGCTTAAAGAATCTCAGCAATAACTACACAAGCTTATCAGAGATGTTACAAACTGTAGTTCTTCATGGGACTTAGAAAAGTGGAAAATGTTTCTGAAATGCTAAATCTATAATAGCTTTACTTTTAAAATAAACATTTAAGAGTTTTTTTTAATATTTCAGCAAAAAAAAAAAACTGGCAAGAATAATGTGGTTAAAAACAGTTTTGGAACAAACCTCTTAATTTTCTTCGGGATTTCTTTGAGCTATGCAATGTACATGATGTTTGTATAATACACAAATGGAGTTACAGATGATTTGTAAGGACTGCTAAATTAAATTTTCTTTCTATTGTAGGCACCTGATCTGCAGCCAGATTTGGATAACCTTAATGTGTAAAAGGTTTTAATTCACTCTTCTGCTAAAAAATCTGAAATAAAGTTCAAGGCAAATAAACACCCAAAAACATATATAAGCAGAAATAGAGTTTCTCATCAAACAGCTAAAAACAGATGCAGTAACAACTGCAGAAAATTAAGTAAAAATTGGCATCATTTTAGTCAGACCAAATTGTGGTTTTGATTTTACAAATATATATACAATTACATTTTCATATTAATTACCTTGTTCTAGTACAAACATAGAATAAAACATCAAATAACACAAATATAAAAACTTCTGTAACTGAGCTGCAGGAAGAGTTTTTAGTGGTTCAGCTGTATCTTGCTACAACTATCCATAGTGCAATCTTGTCAAACTGCCTAAATCCAGTGTGTCCCCCGCCTCCTACGAAGTCTTTTAACTCCTTTTGGATGAAACCTCAATTCTGCGCCACTCCCAGCTCACTAAAGTCAAGGTGCTACAACCCATTGGCCCTGGTCTAAAATGCAAGGCCCTTGTTGCCCTTGTTTTTGTCTACATCTCCCTCTCACCTGGGTAGTGTGCTATGTCAATGGCACGTGCTGTGACATTCCCCTTGGTTTACACTTCCATTACTTCACAAACCTGAATCTGTCAGGATCCACAGGTTTCAAAAAAAGACTGATCTCTAAACAGGCCTACGTCTGTCTTAGCCCATCTGCTCATCAGTTTCTAAGAAAATATATTTTTTATTAAAGATAATTATAACTTCCTTAAATGTTACTTTTATATCTCTCATTTAACAATAGCACTCAGTATACTGAAGTGTTTAAACACAGTAACTTTTGTCAACAGTTTATGCACCAAGTTTCTACGAAAATGACCTCCATTGAAATAAGTGGCGACAGGGTGCCACTCACCTCTGGCAGTCATTCTCAGTCCATCCGAACTGAGCGGCCACTTCAGTTCAGGCCAGTTCCTGTCAAGCTCAAACATTTTCACCCTGTTTTTCTATGATAACAAACGATTTACAAACCATTGTTTTCAAGAAGACAGCTTATGTAATATTGCCTATTTTTAGACCAAAATGTAATCAATACTGGCTTCTTTTTTTTTTTTTAAGGTGTTATACTTTAAACAAACCTGCTTCGCCACGGTGTAGATTTGGGGTGACAGCAGGAGCACAGGCGGCTGCCGCGGGGCCGCCTGCACCCCGGCCCACCCCAGCTGCGAGGAACGGTGCCGCGGGCGGCCAACGTCACAGACCACCTGCGCTTTCTGACTTCCTTTCAGCCACTGACTGGCTGTAAGGAAGCATTTACAGTTTATTAATAGCATCTTCAATTTCGCATTTGCTAGTGAGGTTTTCTTTTTCTTTATCTGCCTGGTAGCATCTCCAGCACTAAAGTATTTGACGTTTCTTTACTCAGGCTCCCTTGGAACTTGACAGCCTCATTTTTGCTATATCTTTCTTGCTTATAATGGGAATTAGATGAGTACTGTTGCCCCATCAGTAATTATACAATCATATGTATTATCCAGGAAAGTATGTATTCCCTTCATACATTGTCATACCACAGACCATAATCATAGATCAATTCTCAGAAATATACAGCATTTTCCCAGAGTGAATGAAGCTTACCCCTCACATTTTCAAATCAATTTTTATGAGCCCTTTAATGACTGAGATGCATGCAGAAAAACAATCTTTTAGACAGATTATGCAAAGTTTGTCTCAGAGCAGGACTTTTCACACTCTGGCCTGCCATGGTCCCCTCCCCTGCTCCTGGAACCACGTCTCCATCCTGAAAGTCCCCTCAGCTACCAGAGAAGGGCTCTCTGAGCATTTAAGCTAACGACACCTGATGTGCTGCAAACAGGTGTGTCATGTCAATCAGCTTCAGCAATGCAGAGAAACAGGCTTTAGCTGTCACGGGGGCACCTTACAAGATCACTCTCCTTGGGAGATGTTCTGAGCCCACGCGGCCGCCTTTCCACCTGGAGCGCCGCTGGAGTCCTTCTCCTTTCCCCGGCTCCCTCCCTTCTGCACTTACAGGACAGCCTTACTCCTCTTTCAGATTTGGTTGAGAATCAGACAAGGGGTTTAAAAATTATTGAAGGATCACAGGCACAAACAATATGGATAAACTTTTTTCCTATGGAAAACCAAGCTAAAATCTATTGAACGCTGGCTTTTTGATCGATCAAGTCAGGATCCCTTACTATACGCCTGCCTAACTGTGCATTGCTTGTCAAAGTCTGGCATCACTTTCCTGCTGGTGTAGCTCCGTTGCCTTCCCTGGAATAGCTGCAGATTGTGGTGTGAGAGAAAGACGGTCATACTATGGCAAAAGAATTCGTCGAATCAGAACAACACGTAATTAAAGGTTGTGCATTTTAATCTAGGTGTGTTTTAATATACATCTATGTAACCAATACTCTTTTAAGGGATTTCATTCATTACCTGTTTCCAGAAAAGACATAACAGTGAAAACAAAAGGTGGAGGTGCTATAACCAACACCACTCAGGCTCAGCCCTGAATGAGGAAATACAAAAATCACGAAAGCCAGATAAAAGGAGTCAAGCCAACGTGTTCACGTGCCTTTTAGCCAAGTAGTTATGCATCTTCTGCCTAAGGTGATGAATCTATAACCTCCAAGTGTAGCATAGTGTAACCATATTGTATTTCAACACAACAAAATCTTTGAACTTAGGCTGAACCCTGTTCAGGAGCTTTCTACTGAGAAAAGAAACTACATTTGCATCGATTCTCCTAGCAGCTATTCTCTTCACAGCAATACATTGTGCATTCCTGATGGTAGGCCTAGAGAGCTGACTTTTTTTCTTGCACAGTATTTACATAAACAGTACTAACTGTAAATTTCCAGGACTGCAGATTTTTTTTTTTTAGGAATCATCCTTTCAGAATGCAGTTTTTCTTAAAGGTAGTAAATGCAAGCCTATAATTCAGTACCTGATGTTCTATCAGAATATTTTATATTGAAATGTGACGGGTTTAAGTGCTTTCCCCTACCTATTCACTCTAATATCAGATAAATAGTGTTGTCATTTTTCCTACGTGAAATCAAATCAGGCCTTGACTTCTACTTACAGTAGACTGACTGAAATTGAAGTAACTTAAATCACTCATTTTTAACTGTAATTAAATTAACAGCATAAACTTTGATCTAAATAATCAAATTTAATTTGATTTTTATTTGTACGTTTTAGTCATTTGTCTAAAG